CTATAAGGACGCAAAATACGCGTAGGTACAACTAGACGTAGGGACTACTAGACGGAGGGACCACTAGTCGTAGAGACTACTAGTCGTAGAGACTACTAGTCGTAGGGACAACTGGTCGCATCCGTACAAGCTAGGTGATACTACTTGTCGGTGGGATACACGTCTAGTTGTACCTACGTCTACTTGTACCTACGTCTAGTTGTACCTCCTAAAAATCTGCAGGTACAACTAGTCGGGTGAGCCACCGTCTACTTGTACCTACGTCTAGTTGTACCTACGACTAGTTGTCCCTAGGCCTCGAGGTACAAGTAGACGGAGGGACAACGAGACGGAGGGACAACGAGACGCGGTCCCACAAAAGGACCTCTTGTCGGCAATGCAAAATGCTCAGTACGGATGATTTAATTAAGGTCGAAAATATCGCAATTATAGGTTTCTATCGATTGTTATACCACATTTATCATAAAACAGGACAGTATCGATTAAAATATCGAATTGACGATGTAGAACGTCGAAATAAATCGTTTTGTTAGCCTCTGCACGGTCTGAGAAAAGATACCTCTTGTTGCTCAATTTTATTTCGCCATAACGACAAGAGGTCCCATTTCTAACATTCACTTTATAAGCAAACTTTAGTCCAAAAATGAATTGTCCTGCATTGTAAAGGATTTAGAGAACTACAACAAAGTTCAGTTTTCGAGGAACAAAATATCTCACAAATTTTGCTGTCCCGACAATAGGTACCTTTTCTTACCTTATGGAGAAATAAACATATAGGGCCGACAAGAGGTCTCTTTTCTGAAATGCTATTTTTACGACATGCTTCAATAAAACAATTATTTTAATGAAAACTACCTTGAGTTAAAATTAGTTTTGCCTCCAAAGAGGACGCACTCTTTTGATACCAGAATCGTTTCTTAAATACAAAACACCTGTTTTTATACGTATTTAACATTTTTGAAATAGTTTTTTCTCAAAATTACTCTTTTTCATAACCAAATTTCAAATTCCTATAACTTTATCGAAAAAAATCGTAAATGCATAGGACTTGAACCAAATGATTCGGAATTTAACAATGAATCATTTAATCAAACGAGGTTGTTTTTAATCACAGTACAATATCTTATCGACAGAGTATTGAGCATAATTATTACCTGTCATATAACAGATCTTTACTGCTAATCATCAGAGTCGACATGATATTGCAATGGATTTGAACATGATAGCTCATTACAATGTGGAATCAGATGATCTGCAGCCACAATAATTTTTACATAATTTCTTGCATGAACATGAAACCATTGAATAGGCTATCAGGTTTCTTACTTAATAGGTTTCTTACTTATGACGGGTCCTAGGTCTTTTAGCGAATTTCCCTATAGGGAAGTAGCTATTACCGTAGGTCTCATGGCAAGACCTAGGCCCAGGACTAATTTACTTTTTCATTTTGATGTCCCCAGAGGCCAAAAACACCGTTCGTTCAAATTTGTATATATGTATATATATACGTCCGTGAACGCGATAACTTGAGTAATTTTTTCCGATTTTGATGAAATTTGGTTTGAAGGTGTAAGGCGGGATAAACTTGAATGAGTTCGCGAACCAGCACGATCGGACCATGGGAACAGGGTTTTACGGGAGCTTTTATGGTGTAAAAAACGGGTTTTCTCATTTTTGACCCTCAAAATACAAAATTTCTTAATTTTTCTTTAGACCTTTTTAAAGGGCTTAAAAAACAAATAATTTACATTGTAACGAATTTCCCACATAGGGAATAAGCTATCAAATTGTTTTTGTACGGTTATCGGTAACGGAGAAACTTCCAAAAATTGTAAATTTAAAATTCCCATGTTATTCTTATGGAGAATATTGTAAAATAATATAGTTTGCCTGTTTATTGATATCTTGGATCAAATTTGTCCAATTTATTATTTTATACTAAACTATTAATATTTTACTAAAAACCACGCTTTATTAGTTTCCTTGTAGTAGCAAACCTAGGTACTCGTTAAACCTAATGTTATTTAAATAGATTTTATTGAAAATCAGTTCACACAAATGGAAATTCGCTTAGTCGGCAGGTTTGCTGCGGCGGGGGTATTTTTGCTTTGTTAGATAGAGTTTTTGGAATTGTTCTTTTATCCAACCCCAATTAGTGGGTGTAAGCTTGTTTCCTAACCAACTTTGCACTTGTTGTGTCTGGATGTGACACAACATAATTTTTTTGGGATCGGAAAAATAAAGCAATTGAACTAATTAAAGCAAATAATGAAAAGGCAAAAGAAGCAGCAGGGCCGTTCTTAAATCCAAGTACCACATAAGACACCATAGCCTTGAATGGAAAAAGGGTTGTTCTGTTACCACGATAAAAAGTTTAACTAAAAACGATTTGGAAGAACTATTGGATTAACTCTTTTGAGCCTATATGTAGCTTCACTATTATCGAGGAGGTTAACTGCCAGGAAATTTGGAAATTTGATATTTTTCACTTCTTTTTTTTATTTCTTCTCTGGCATTGGGTAATTTTGTATCTTGATGGATAACTTTATTTGTGACAAACCAAGGTGCTTGTAAAATTTTCCTTAGTGTTTTGGGTTGAAATCGTTGAACTATTTCTATGTTCGAGTTTGAAGTGGTTCCCCAGAGTTGGATACCGTAGGTCCAAATAGGTTTCAATATCATTTTGTATAAAAGTAATTTATTTTCAACAAATAATTTTGAATTTCGACCAATAAGCCAATTTAGTTTGTTTGATTTTAAATTTAAATGAAGTAGTTTGTTCCAAATGTGTGAATGCCATGCAAGCCGTCTGTCAAGATGCATACCAAGGTACTTAACTTCGTTGGATTGTGGAAGCGTGACATTATTCAATGTTACTGGGGGGCAAGTTCTTGTAGACATAGTAAATGTAACTTGAACGGATTTTGTTTCATTTACTTTAATTTTCCAATTCTGTAGCCACTGAGACAAATCGTCTAATGCAGCCTGAATAAGGTTTGATGATGCCAGAATAGGATCCTGATTTGATGATAAAAAAGCAGTGTCGTCTGCAAATGTTGCAACCGTAATACCCTGAGTACTTGGAAGGTCATAAGTGAACAAAATATACAAAATAGGTCCAAGAACACTGCCTTGTGGTACACCTGATTCAATTTCATGCACATATGTAACTACATCTTGATATTTAATTTGAATAAAGCGTTTGGACAAATACGATTTCATTGATTTCAACACTCCATAGTGTGTATGGGGCAGCAAAGTTTTAATTTTGAACAATAATCCTGTGTGCCAGACTTTATCAAACGCCTGGGCTACGTCCAAAAAAGCAGATGAACAAAAATGTTTATTTTCAAGCAATATCTTCCTTGATTACATTCACTATTCTATGCACTTGCTCAATGGTGGAATGCTTTCGGCGGAATCCAAACTCGATGGGAAGGCAACAATTCTTTTTCATCAATTATAATTTGGAGTCTTTTTGAAAAAGTTTTTCAAAAACTTTTGAAACCACGGGAAGAAGAGATATAGGCCGATACGAGGATGCTTGATTTAAAGGTTTACCAGGTTTCGGAATAACAACAATTTGTGAAACCTTCCACTGTATTAGGAAGTATTCGAGGCGTAAAACTGCATTGACAAGTACTGTAAGGAATACTATTCCTTTTCTAGGCAGCTCTTTCAACACTTTACCTGTTATCAGATCATAACCGGGGGCTTTTTGCCGTTTAAATAGTCTTTTATTACTTAAGCTACTTCAGATGGTGTAAACAATTTTATCGGTAAATCAAGTTGATTTGGAGAATCGAGGAATTCCAAAATTTCTTGTTCAACGTTTTAATTTATATTATGGCTTGAACACTTCTTTGAAGTGAAGCAAATAAGACATCTGCTTTCTCGATGTTGTTTTTGGCCCAAGAACCGTCTTCTTTTAGAATAGGTGGAATGCAAATTTTTGGACGTTGTAAGTTTTTTGTAACTTTCCAAAGGGAGTAGTCACTAGCTTCAGATGGAGAAAGAGGTTTGATGTGAAATCTTGAAATCTGTCATTGTTTAATTTAAACAGTAATAGTAAGTTTTAAACATTTTTGTTTTTTCTGCCCCTGAGCTATAAGACTTAATAAATGGTTTTAAGTTACCTTTGTCAGTAGCTCAAATGGTCGTTAAAATTCTACAACCAGGTTTCGATGCTGAGTTGCACCATGATCACGTAAGTCAGCAGGATAACTTCTTGCTCACATGTCGGTCAAGTTGACGTCGTTAAAAAGTTTATAAAACAATACATTACGTAAAAAACACATACATTTAAACACGAACAAGTACAAAACATATTACGAACGAGGTCAATCTATCGAACGGGCCCGTCACGGTTATCGGCGGCAGGAGGACTCATGAAGCGGCAAGAAGTTATCCTGCTGACTTACGTGATCATGGTGCAACTCAGCATCGAAACCTGGTTGTAGAATTTTAACGACCATTTGAGCTACTGACAAAGGTAACTTAAAACCATTAGTAATAGTAAGGTTAAACCGATGTGCTGATAAAAATATTTCTGCCAAGTGTGTAAGTGTAGTCCAGTTAAACCGATGTACGGTTAAAAGGTGTCCGGTTAAGTCTACTGTACTTCGAATGCCATGCTATAATAACTCAGAAAGCTTATAAACATATGTGGTGGGCTGGGCAATAACTGGAGTAACCACTCTGTGTTTTAAAAACGTATTACTTGTATTTGCTAGCTCAGTGGTGGGGCCTTGGTCGAGTCACTCACTACGAGCAGAGTAAGTGGAAGAGAAGAGATTGAATTCAAGTGAGTTCAAGCACGTTCAAGTTGTTGGTATTGAAAGTTAAAAGGCGGAGCGAAGTGCACACGGAACTACGGAACGGAACGGAAGTGAAGTCTTGTCTTGTGTAATTAATTTGTAAATTTTGTTATTATTGCGATTGCGTATTCGTAATCGTAATCGTTCGTAAGTAGGTCTGTAGGTCAAGAAGTGATGTGAGTGAACAGTAAGTTGTTTTGTGTTGTGTGTGAAGAAGACGAGACAACTGGTGGACTGGAACTGAGTAACTGAGAGAAGGGTGAGAAGGAGAAGGAGAAGGTGAAGGAACGGTGGACGACGAGACGAGGAACGAGAAAGTTTGTGAATTAAATTTGTCTTGTCCTGTTTGATTGTTCGATTGTTGCATTGTTGGCTGAAGATTTAAAATACTACATTCTTCAAGTAAGTTGAGTTGTTATAAATCTTATGCTTTGTCATAACTTGGATTCTTATATCAGTGTAGATTTTAATTGAGCAACAACAGTAATAGCTTAGAACCAGTTTATGAAACTTGTCTATATAGACCTAGGCTAATTTCAAGGCTTGACTTTATCGCCATATTGTAGGCTTAAGTTTTAGGCTTGAATAGTAAGATGCTCGTAAATCTTAACATTTTACACCTTTGTGCTATTTTAACTTTTAACTAACAGTGCTATCACCAGCCTGTTAAACTATATGCCTTCTTTCGGTGAAATTTATACCACTGTTTGTTAACTTGAGAACTGTAACTAAATAGGCCTAAGCTAGGCATAAACTTAGGCTAGGCCTTAGTTATTCAGAATAAACCTCTAGGCCTAGGCTTGGATCAACTTGGTAGCCTAAATTATTGCCAATATTAGATAGGGTATTAACTTAGCTGGTGCCTTTTTCGATCGTGGCCTAGGCTACCCTACTTTAACCCTAGCAATGGCCGATCGTCGTCTGGTGACGATCTGACGTTGATGCTTAGAATGGCCAAAGTCGTCTGGTGACGATCTGGGCCAAAATTTTTTTAGCGGTAAAAAAAACACTTACAATCAACTCAGATGAGAATAATATAAGTACATATATAAGCTTACCATTCAAAAGATCACATTCTGAACTTTCATTTTTTTACATAAACAAACCCTGTAGCAGGTAGGCTATATAACAATTTCACGACGATTAGAAATCAACTGAATTTTTGGCGCGGCACGACTTTTGCAGCCGACGCTTGGGAACTGGCAAAACACGTCTTGTTTGTCATTACCCTGCTTGGGTAATTTTCGTCTTGGGATGTTGCGGGTGGTACCACTGGATAGCGATTGATTGTATCTTCATTGTGGCAGTGATATTTAGAACTAAATATTGATTTGACAACCGGTACGATTTTATAAAAATAGCTGTTTTTGAAATTTATAACAAATGGCCAGGTTTTAGATAGTTTTAGGTCATCCAGTTTGCTTTTCATGCTATTGACATTTTGATAGTAGCAGTCTGATAGATGTCCATTGGTTGAAGCTACTTTTTTGAAGATTGAACTATTCCTGGTATCCCGTTTTGGTATTTTATTGTGAGATTTTGTTCACCAGCCTTCTTTCTAGCATCGAGGGTGCTTCTAAGTTTGGCCAAATGAGACCATTACATAATAGTGCGGTCACGGGAGACACTCAAATTACAGCCTGGAAAGGTTTTCTCACAGACATCCGGGTTAAAGTTTTTGAAAAAAGAAACTACATCTGATGAGCCCTTGAAAGTCACCTTTAGTGGGCGTGGTTTTTCTGGTGTCTGTTTCCCAATTCTAATTGCTTTTGTTACTTCCAGAGGTTAGTCAGACTGAGGGAGTGAAGGATGGTGTTAAATGATCCCTTATCGTGATCGATTTTTGCTTTGGTGTCGCGCTCACGTTAGTCTCTGGTAGTCCGTGTATTATAGCGTTCTTGGCATGCTGGGATCTGTCGTTCATTTCTTTGATAATAAGCTCGGGATCATTCGGCTTTTTAATTTTAATCGCGTCCACCTCAGATGTTAGGTTGTTGATTTTCACATGATTGGCCAAGACCTGTGGCTCAAGCCGTGAAATTTGATCCTTAATTAGCCCTATATCAGATTTGGTTTCTGCAATGCCTGACGTTACTTCATTTATTTTTCCAATTTGAACAGACCAGCTGTCAATCTTATTCAAAAGGCTATTTATACTTGATGTTAGGACAACCATATGATCCTCAAGGGGGGATTTTGCAGTCGACTCTATTGCAGAACCATTTTTTGTTTTCATCTTTAGAGAGTTGGGTGCAGTCAACTTTAGAGATATTCGCGCAAACCCGATGAAACCAACGGTTGCATTGCAACCCCTCCTCCGAGTCGAGTACCAACTTCATGCATACGTTACAGGTGGTTATGGGGCTTCTCATGGTTCCGTTATAACAAAGACAGATTCAATAATTTTATACTAAATTGGGCTTTTCTATGCCCTCGAGAACCCACTTGACGGCTACTCAATTCACCGCCGATGAAGTCCGGATACAACAGTTACAGTAATCATATCTTGAAGTTGACGTGATTGAGAAGGCTGTGGATACAAAGACGTTCAACATAGATTCCTATGTAGAGGATGTCACTAACAAGCAGACAAATTGACAGGTTTGGGTTTGCGTTTGTGATCGGTTAGACCGTTGACTATACACAGAATAAACTTCCCAATGTGATATGAAGGGAGGAAGCCAAAAAAATACATGAAGTTCAGGACCATCTCACCAGAGTTTACTAGTGTATTTGGTTTAATATTAAGTACCTGGGGACCGAGCTTTGCTCCGGGGAAATTATTAGTTTACTCTGATAAGTATTGCAGATATAATCCACTCCCAATCTCCAAACTGCTAACCTTCACTATTTACTTCACCACTCCCTACGTCGTGGACCTGTTTGCCCTCCTTCCCTATACCATTTTAGAATTGCAGATACATAAATGCCACAGACAGTTCCCACACTCTGCACTGCTAGCATTACTACTTCCTACACCATTTCCTACGTCATGGACATGTTTTACTCCCTTCTCGTAGCATTTTAGGATTGTAGATACCTTTTAATGTAGTTCCCATAAACAGTTCCCAGACTCCAGACTGCTCACCTTTACTACTTCCTTCACCACTTCCTACGTCGCGGACCTGTTTCTCTCCCTTCCAATGGCATTTTAGGATTGCAGATACCCTAATCTAATCGTCATTAACAGTTCCCACACTCCAGACTGCTCACCTTTACTACTTCCTTCACCACTTCTTACGTCGCGGACCTGATTCCCTCCCTTCCCATAGCATTTTAGGATTGTAGATAACTTGATCTAATCGTTATTAACAGTTCCCACACTCCGGACTGCTCACCTTTCCTACTTCCTTCACCACTTCCTACGTCGTGAACCTGTTTCCCTCCCTTCCCATAGCATTTTAGCATTGCAGATTCCTTAATCTAATCGTCATAAACAGATTTCACACTCCAGACTGCTCGCCTTTACTACTTCCTTCATCACTTCCTACGTCGTGGACCTGTTTGCCCTCCTTCACTATACCATTTTAGAATTGCAGATAGGCCTACATAAATGCCACAGACAGTTCCCACACTCTGCACTGCTAGCATTACTACTTCCTACACAATTTCCTACGTCATGGACCTGTTTTCCTCCCTTCTCGTAGCATTTTAGGATTGTAGATAACTTAATGTAATTCCCATAAACAGTTCCCAGACTCCAGACTGCTCACCTTTACTACTTCCTTCACCACTTCCTACGTCGCGGACCTGTTTCCCTCCATTCCCATAGCATTTTAGGATTCTAGATTCCTTAATCTAATCGTCATAAACAATTTTCACACTCCAGATTGATCGCCTTTACTACTTCCTTTACCACTTCCTACGTTGCGGACCTGTTTCCCTCCATTCCCATAGCATTTTAGGATTGCAGATTCCTTAATCTAATCGTCATAAACAGTTTTCACACTCCAGACTTCTCGCCTTTATTGCTTCCTTCATCACTTCCTACGTCGCGGACCTGTTTCCCTCCATTCCCATAGCACTTTAGGATTGCAGATTCCTTAATCTAATCATCATAAACAGTTTTCACACTCCAGACTGCTCGCCTTTACTCCTTCCTTCATCACTTCCTACGTCGCGGACCTGTTTCCCTCCATTCCCAAAGCTCTTTAGGATTGCAGATTCCTTAATCTAATCGTCATAAACAGTTTTCACGCTCCAGACTGCTCACCTTACTACTTCCTTCATCACTTCCTACGTCGCGGACCTGTTTCCCTCCATTACCATAGCATTTTAGGATTGCAGATTCCTTAATCTAATTGTCATAAACAGTTTTCACACTCCAGACTGCTCGCCTTTACTACTTCCTTCATCACTTCCTACGTCGCGGACCTGTTTCCCTCCATTACCATAGCATTTTACGATTCTAGATTCCTTAATCTAATTGTCATAAACAGTTTTCACACTCCAGACTGCTCGCCTTTACTACTTCCTTCATCACTTCCTACGTCGCGGACCTGTTTCCCTCCATTACCATAGCATTTTAGGATTGTAGATAACTTGATCTAATCGTTATTAACAATTCCCACACTCCGGACTGCTCACCCTTACTACTTCCTTCACCACTCCCTATGTCGTAGACCTGTTTGCCCTCCTTTTTTATACTATTTTAGAACTGCAGATACATAAATGCCACGGACACTCTCACAAAAAATGCAAATAAATGCAGTGCCACACTCTGCACTGCTAGCCTTACAACTCTCTTCCCCATTTCCTACGTCATGGACCTGTTTTTCTCCCTACCATTACATTTTAGGATTGCAGATACCTTAATTTAATCGTCATAAACAGTTCCCACACTCCAGACTGCTCGCCTTTACTACTTCCTTCACCACTTCCTATGTCGTGGACCTGTTTTCCTCCCTTTCCATAGCATTTAAGGATTGCAGATACCGTAATCTTATCGTCATAAACAGATCCCACACTCCACACTGCTACCCTTGACTATAGAATCTAGTAATCTTCAGTATAATCTTTGCTCAATAGTTATAACTGATGTTTTTTTTCCTTTTGTACTGTATTTTGTTTTGCTAGTGTACTGTGGATAGTCAAATTACAAGTCTTTTGTTTACTTTTTCCTTATTATTTAATTCAGCCAACATGGTTACCTAGCAACCCATAAGACTAATGTTAAAAAAATGTGATTTTTAGTTTCATTTTTCTACGTATTTAGATTTTTGTTGGCAGTTCTAACTGCAGTAAACTCGTTTTTAGGCCAGAAATAAACTATTTACAACATTTGAAGAAAATCGTCGGAGCCGTTTTCGAGATCTTGGTACAAGCAAGCAAGCAAGCAAGCATACATACATACATACATACAAACATTGCTCGTATTAGAGTATAGGATTAAATTTCAATGCAGTATCATAGCAAACAGCTGATTGATTTATCACTTAACAAAGAATATTGTCATTAGTTGGTGACCATCTTGACAGATTGCACCATGTTTTTTGGCTTCAAATTTTAACATTACACGGGAAGTCTATTCTGTGTATAGTCAATGTTTAGACAAAATAAAAGGTTTATTAGTATTTATTTGGTGATAAGAAAGGTGTCGAGGTGTACACACATACAGTATATACAAAACTCACAAAGAATAAGTTATACGATGACCATGGAGCTTGCAGCAGGCTTGAAATCAAACCAGCAACCTCCAGATTTGAAGCCCAGCACTAAAACCACTTGTCTACCTAGACTTAAAAAAAATATTGAATCAGGCCTAACACAGAGATATTTTAACTTAGGAATAAGTTATGTCTCTGAATCAGAAACCTGTGCAACTAAGTAAGACAATATTGGCTGTCATTTGGTACCTAACTAATGGTGACTTAGGTAAAATTTATCTAGCTAAAGTTAGGCCCGAAAAAAGTTTAGGCTTTAGCCCTAGGCTAATGTTTGGAATAATTTGCAAGTCTTACACTGTGGGAGAACCATAACTAATAAGTTGGGCTATTTTTTAAATTATATAGCCTATGTCACAGAAGTAACTTACCAAAATGTAAATCACATAGGCTACTTTTTAATGCTCTTTTCAATATTGAGAAGGTTCTAGGCCTACTTCAGATGGGCTACTGTTGCTTGTGTTTAAAATTCAAATATAGGCCTACTGGTAATTTCAAAACCAAACTTATTTTAGATTTCTCACTGCTTGTACCTTCACATTTTATTTCTGATCAATCTAAAATGGATGGATAGGTAGCTATTAACATTACACATTAAGTTGGGCACTTTAAAAAGTACCGGTAGCCTAATGGTAATGTGGTTTGGTTCAATAGTTCTGTGAACTTAACTGGCAATTAGGCCTAGTTGAAATAAATTGGTAATTAACCCTAGTTAGTCTAGAAATGCTAGGCTAATAGAGGAAATCCTGGAAATGATAAGATAAACTTTATCACTGGAAAGAGTAGTGTTAATACCACATCCTATTTGTGTTAACAGTTGGAAACACTGGATGCCTTATTGTAATAGCAGGCATTGTTTACTATGAAACAGTTTTACTTTTTAGTCTATGTGGACGGGCAAATGCAAGGTTAAAAGAGGCCGCCAACCTCTTAAAAAAAGTAAATAAATAAAAAAGAAAAAAATACCCCCGCCGCAGCAAACCTTCAGACTAAGCGAATTTCCATTTGTCTGATTGGATTTAGACTAAAATGTCTCCTTAAAAATATCACATTTATTCCCTATTTAAATAACATTAGTTTAACGAGTATTTAGGTTTGCTGCAATAGGGAAGGAAAAAGGTGCTTTTGGGTAAAATGTAATAGTTTTGTATGAAAAGAATTCATTTTCCAAATTTGATCAAAATATGTTCATAAACAAGCAAACTACCAGATTACATATTCTCCATAAGAATAACATGGGAATTTAAATTTACAGATTTTAGGAATTTTCTCTGTAACCATTAGGCGCTTAATAACGCTTCAATGTACTAAATTATTTGTTTTTTTAAGCTCTATGAAATGGTTCGGAAAGAAATTGCTAAATTTTAAGTTTTTAGGTTCAATAAATATAAATAGAAATTAACCAATTATACCCCAAAAACCCCTGTTCGCATAGTCCGATCATGCTGGTTCGCGAACTCGTTTGAATAAAAATTGAGGTTTACACGTTTGTACCAAATTTCATCAAAACCGGATGAGTTTTGCTCGAGTTATCGCGCTAACAGACACATATATAAATATGTATATGAATTTGAACAGATGGTGTTTTTGGTCTCTAGGGCCTCAAAACGAAAAAGTAAATCTGTCCCGGGTCCAGGTCCAGGTACTACGGTGGTGATAGCTTATTCCCTATAGGGAATCATTTAAAAGTTTTTTATTATTACTGATGCTTATTATCCTTTTAAGATTCATTTAACTTTATTTTAACATTTTCTGTAGTATTTTAAATATTGTATATAACATATGTAACATTTGTAATTTTTATATTACCTACCAAATGACAATAAAGATGTATTATTATTATTATAAGGGGAAATTCGCTTAAAGGTCTTTCAGTGCAATCCGGACTCGTGTCAGAGTGTCGATCCGGCAAGCCAATTTCCTTTTACCGTAACCGGGTGTTTCTATACTGAAGTTTTGTTTAAAATGTTCTATATGAAATGAAAGTAACCCCTCGACAAAGACGTTTGGATCCACCTGTTGTGTAAATAGGCCGATTGATGTTTTTCCCCCCCAAAAGTCGAAGTTACAGCACAGCTCTGGGGTGATGAAGAGAAGTTCTTAAAGTTCTTGTTTTAAGTACCAGTAGGCCTACCTATACTTAATTACATTTTAGAAATATGTATCAGAAATAGTATAAATTTCCAATTAAATACAATCATGTAACAAGTTAAGAAGACTAAGCAATAGCCAATTAAACAGATGTCCCTGTTTATATAAAATGTAGACATATCATGCTGATTAAGAAGTAATTTAATTTTATTTTTATAATACTAACTTACTGCACACATCTAGACTAGTTTTAAATTACATATCTTGTATTACTAGCCATCACTATTATGGTCAAATTGTGATCCATCAATTATAGGTTATCAATTATAGATGTTATAGGGCCCGACATGTTTTCAATGCCAATTTTTTTTTTGCTCGTTCAAGTTATGATTTTTTTCACATTCAAACCAGTTTGTTTTGATTGACTGATAATTTCTAAATGTTTCAATGTCAACTAACATCTGTATTTTTTGTATAGATGGCGTCACGAGGAGGAGGACGTGCCCGAGGGAGGGCAAAGCTACCACCACAAGCAGCACCTCAACCTACCCCAGCTGCACCACTACCTCATGTAAGCATTCTTTGTTTCCGGTAGCAACTTGCTAACCCTTCATCTGGCAATTGACTTGTCACAGTGACTTTTTAAACTGCATAATTGTAACTTGAAACATTTTTGACGGTAATAACACAACCTTTTACCCTCATCATGGACCATAGATATCATCCATCATGAATCGCAATTAGACCCTGCCATCAACTCCCTTTTGTTAGGTATTGACCCTAAGATTGAATTCAAAAGAACTAGTGATTTTTGTTAGTGCAGATTTTATTTTTCCTGTGGAAGATACCACTTTTGGCAATACATGATGAGGTCCTTTGAACTATACTACTAAACGCCATATATGTATAGGCCTACTTTTGTATATCTGTGAATGAAGTATCTTTGAATTAAATTGCAATGAGGTTTTTAACTGTGTAGAATACTTAGGATATTTTATTTTTTAATTGCAATGGATGATCTTCTAAGGAGACCTATATTTACAATAACTATTAATTGTATGTGCAGATGATACAACTTTCTTTTTAAAGGACAGAACAATGGTAGAATCACAACAACAAACTCAAACTGCATTGAGGGATGCCTCAGCATGGTTTCAGTCAGTCAAATAGTCTTGTTCTGAACAACAATAGAACTCATGTTTTTTTTTTTAGTTTATACCCACATATCAGGTGTTTGGTGGGTCACAACAAAGAGTTAAACTTGCAGATAAAATTTTTACAACAAATCAGAAATTTTTTTAAATGTCAGTAGAAGCAATATTTCATCGAAAGCAGAGGAGCATAAATGTAACTCTATATCAGATTCTATGGTGGAGGGTTGATAAAACTATTAAAGTTGTTTTGATGAGCGAGGAGGTCGAAGCAATGCAGAGACTCTGAGTCAATGGGTTATTTTTATTGAATGGTAGGATTCTACAAATAAAGCTAGACTCAGGGGCAAAATAAATGTGTTTTTAAATTGCAGTCAAGTTAATGAGAACTCGATGATCAACACAGGAGATGTTTTAGCCTACTAATGTCTCCTAAACTTAAACCTCCTGTAGGTATCTAAATGTATTAGGCAGAACAAACATCGAATTTAGAATTGATGGCGTTTATTTTGATCAGATGGTTAGGTTATATCAAATTTTCTTTGACAAAAATGTAATGTTTGACAATGCGCAAAGCTTTAAGTATTGAGTTCTGATTCTGAAAATTTGCTAGAAGGGAGGTATTGCAACAACACATAAATGTTTACTCTATAGAATACATACATATTCCTCCACATTGTAGGGTCGCGGTTTGTTTGGATATGATGGTTTACACAAGCAAAATATGCTAAGTAATTTTTCCAAGGATCCCAGATCATGTTCTAAAAGCAAGGAGGACGAGATTGCATGATGGAGACCTCAGGAGTGTGTGTGTGAAAGCACATGGGGATCAAAAACCTAATCACATACGGCAGAACATTGCAATGACAGCACTCATTTAAACACTTTTACAGACAAAGTCAGATACAGGGAGATATGATGTGCACGCTTCCAGAGCTGCGTATGGTGTACTCAAAATTTGAGGGTCTATTGTATACATAAAATTCACCCATCGCTTGCTTAGCCCGACTTTGGAACAGGTGATGTTTGTGGCTAATACAGCAGTTGTAACATGTCGGTTATGTCATAGGAATCTTCATCGGGACGAGCATCTCACCGGGGTGCGGGACGACCACAAGATGACACACCACTTGTCCAACGTATGGGACGAATGCAGATGGAGGAGAGCGGAAATGGGAATGGTAAGTAGATTAAAGTTCAAAAGTTTTGTAAAGTAAATTGTTTGAAGATTTTTTTAACAAGTTTGGCTATACCGTTTATATCAGGATTACTTTCTCAACAGTAAATTGAAGACAACTTGAATGCATGGAGTTTAACATGTCTCAGCCAGAAGGAAGTAGCAATTAATAGTCATGATAGGAAGGAAGGATAGATAACACAAAATACAAGACAAAGAACAAGAATGAAAGGGAAAACCTTTTGGTAGTTTATAGGTTAGAAGTGAAGGAAAGGCCAATTGGCTGATTAGGATTATTATGTACAAGGATAGGGATCAGCTAGCTACGGGGTCTCCAACCTTTTTTACTCAAGAGCCACATCGACAATTTTTGGAGGAAAGGCGGGCCCGGCCAGACCGTCAACATTTCAGTGTAGAAGGGGAGCCCACCCTCAAAATAACCCACAAAGAGGTAGTTTTCTAGGTAAGTTCTAGGTTTTCTAGGTTCCTTGACGAACTTTTTACATTTCTTGCTGATTTTTCTTTGCTACCTATTTAACCTTACAAACTAAAATTCTGTACGCTTTTGCAAATGATAAACTGTAAAAAAAATGACCAACCTGACATAATTATTTATGGGTATATAAACGATGTTTGTCATATTATACTTTGTCATAAATAAATCACGATCACTGGATATCATTACAGAAATTTTACTGATATCACAAGAGATGTTCACAATGCAGTCGCGATTGCAAATGCCAATTTATGTTATAACCGTGACAGCAATATTTAATAGAGATGTGCGAGTACTCGAGATTTCGAGTTCGAGTCGAGTACGGCCTTGAAACTCAAGCTTATCTTTGAACTCGGCAGTTTTGAGTCGAGTTTGGTTTAAAATTGTAAAAAATCAATATTTGTTAAAATGTAACCCGTGTTTACAATGTTTACATAAAATGCTTTATAATTTGTATTACTGTAGATTCTACAATAATACAAATATTTCCACAGTGTAGAAATAAGCAAGAGGTAGTTGTCCTAACCTATTTAGCTGTCACGACAGAATAGGTCAACTCAAAGCAGTTGCCGGCGACTGACTGGCAATGGCATAATCTGGACTTGACACAGAATGACATGATCGGTAGTGATTTTGTTTTTTAAAGTACTGTTCCACAGTAGAAAATTCCACTACTGAACTGTTGCGTAAGCAATAAATCTATGGTTAAAAAAGTCAGAATAGAAGCACTAGCAAAACAACAAACAAACTTATCATGATCCTTCCATGATAGGAACAACAAAACAATAGCAAAACAATAGAAGGGAGGGAGGGGTTGTGCAATGACCTCGAAATGAGCCGGCCAGCCGGCATAGCAACAGTGAGTGGTGTGGGGGATTGGGGGAAGGTGAGGGTGAGATCTTTGAGCTATATTTAGACCGGTCCAGACTTTCACCACTTCCCAAATGGCTGGGTAGGGGCAGGGGGATTATAATAGCAGGTTTTTTCCTTGCCTGGTTTGACTTTTGTCTTTTTGTGTAGGAGATTTGAATCATCAAAAATATAATTTGAATTAACCACAATTATTTAGCATTGATAATGATAATACAATCTGCAAGGGACCAGGAGAAATATTATTCAATTAGAGTTAATACCATGATTTGCATTTTTATGTCAAAATACAACATTGCACAATCATGATGTTTTGGGTCATTGACCTTATTAATAACGCATCTATATATAAAGTCAAAAGTACCCATGAACTTTTGAGAAAACTACAAGTCACATCACCATAAACCATATACTTAAAATGTTCGTCATGACGAGAAACCTTGCGCAAAATTATTCATTATTTCATAAACTGCCCTATAAGGTCGTAATTGCTTTCCAAAGGGAACTTTCCATTTACCTAATGTTAAAAATACCTCAGCTGTTATTATTTGTTTGCATTACCATTACTGTATTCTGTTTTGTTTATTTCATCTTAACTTAACCAATCAATCTATAATATTAAAACGAAACAGTGTTTTTTTATTTCACGATTCTGAATCAACCACTCGACAGATTTTCATGATTTTTGTGTTGAAAGAAAGATAATTTTGAGAACTAGGGAATGTCGATAATTTTAGTTTAGGGTCCCAGTTTTTTTAGAAATTAAGTTTTAATTTTTAAAAAGTCTAGCAGCCGACGCTAAGATTCTAAACTAGCTTTTGGCATAAAATAATTTGCTTAACATAACAGCTGTAAACATTCAGCTTTTGTGTCTCAAATTCAGCATTTGGATAAAAATGTAAAGACATATTTAGGGTTGACTTATTTATACTATGTGTATTGTGTAATGCTAATCATTGATACGTTCAATTCTTCTGAAAGAGGATGACAGATTAATTAAATATACATAGTAAAATACTAGGATGTTCAAATTATTTTTTTAAGGAATCTTTGTAATCTTCGATTTGTTTTAGAGCAATATCATTTGTTTTAACTAACAGCTGGTTAAATATAAACAATGGAACTATGAGGTTATTTAATTTACTCTTATTTTGTCATTGATTATAGGAAATAAGTAAGATTAGTAGAGATAATTAGACCACAGTTTAAAATAGTTTAGACCAAAATTAATTAAACCACAGTACAAATCGAGGATCTGTACACGAGTCTTAATAAAAAAGGATAAATGCAAATTATTTTACTGCTCCACTTTTCAAGGAAAGATTACAAAAATAGCAATGTTTACATGTTTTAATTCTTCATGGTAGCTTTTTGTTTACAATTAATGTTTGTCTGCTCTAACTTTGTTTGGGAAATATTGATGTCATAAAAAGAAGATCAAGAATAATCAGGAATCACGATTTTAAATTACCACCACAACCTCAGCCGGGTTTTATACAAAGATAAACAGATGGGTGTCATAGATTGAACACAACGTCAACATTGACCTAGGATACTGCAATTAGACAAACCATCCTTTTATGAAATCGTGTTCAGTTGTGGTTACGTTTGGGGGTGCCTATATCAGCGCCCCCAAACGTGAAAATATCACTTTTATTTCAACTATGAATATATTGTAGTTTAAATTAACTAATATGGGAAATTACGATGTACATTTATTCAATTAGGGTGGGTAATTATCAAGGAGAGAACTGATAACGGTATGGATAATAAACATTGACATTACGTCACTAGCTTTACTAGCGTGTTTACTTTTTATATTCCTGCTACATGTGACCAGTTCTTTTTTTCAAATGAATGTTTATTTGAACCAAACAGCTGTTTCAAAACAAACTGTTATTGTTTTTACTTTCCTTTGTTTACACTTATTTATTTAGCAATTAATGCAGTGAAATTGATATAAAGGATAGGTGTGACGATTAGTTTTGATGTTAGGACACCAAAGATAAATTACTGTATGTGTACTGTGAATTTGATTGGATATTATCGATTTATTTTAGGTCGTTTCTATTCAGACCTACTGGAAATTGTGTATAGTAGTTGTATTGTGGTGATAATAATTATGGAAGAGGCAGGTATGCTATGGAAGATGGTATCGTTGACTAGGTCTATAAACACTTCTCAATTGACTATTACTCTCTCTACTGTAGGCTACTTATAACCAGTGTGCGTCTGTGCGAATCGGCTGCAAATCTCACTTTAACGCTTTTCACATCGTAAAAATTACAGAATTGCTGTTTTATTGTAAAATTATCGGATTTAAAATGCATATTATATAGGCCTATGATGGAATAAAAACATATTTGGTCACACAACATTTGTTTACAAGATTATTTTTCACATTAAAACTGCAAGAAACTTTGTCTTTATATGTGTAAACTAGCTGATCTGAATTGTACACAGTTTTAACTGACTACTGAATTCCCGTACGTAGGACGGGCTAACACCTTGTAGTTTTATTAATACTTAATGTAGTAAAACGGGGTGGAGCCCGTGGGTAACAGCCAGTCTGTTATAAGTTGATAATTATAAATTGATGTTCCCGTGGTTGAAAATAATTATTCTGTAAACTTGTAAAACATTAGATAACTCATAAATAAGTATAAAATCATTCATAAAGACAATAGTAGCACTCCTAAAAAGGGATTTAAAGATAACAACATAAAAACATCATTATACTTTCTCTTCGTTCATTCTATTTTTTCTTGGGGTTCTAATGTGCATGGAATACAATGGATTATAGTGAGTTAGGCCTAAGTCTAGGTTTTTATTTGATTTCTATAACTACTATTGTATGAGCCTATTACATTATTCAGTACAATTTTCAATCTACAATAATTGTTTTGTTTAACAGTACGGTAGGCTACTTGTAGGTCTACTTTATTTTTAACATACATTTTGAGTATTTTGACAGAATGTTTGTTTACAATTAACATACAAGATTAAAAAATTTAATTTTCTTTTATTTAAAAAATTATTTTTCTTTTACCCTCTGTCAAACCATTGGACATTTTGTAGGCCTGCTGTTACAAAAACCACACCAACTAAGAATAATGGTAATAAAATTACAAAACTAAAATCTGTTAAGGCTAGTACTCACTAGGACACCCGGTCGCTTATCAACCGGCGACCTAATTGACGAGCGACTAAGTTGATGATTGAACGTTTTATTGCTGGGTGGTACACACTAGGATACCTAGCACTTTCAACCAAGCTGGAAATCAATCAAAATTTGGTGGGGATAGACAATTTGTTTTGTTCTGGTTCACGCTTTAAAGTGTGAACCTAAATGACAACACCATGCCCCCGACGGAGAGGAAATAGCTGCCGAAGTTTTGATTATATTAAAAACTGTGGGAAGTAGAGAAGAAGATAGAAATTGTTTAGAAGATTTTGGGTTAAAGGGTGGCTTTAACGTAGAAATAGTTACAGCCAGCCACATCGGCACTCCTATGAGCTTTTCGACTTAAAAATCCTCAGGATTTTAAGAACTATTTACATATGTCAGATGACAGTTTCCGTCATACTAAGCAACCAGTGACACCTCACATAGAAAAAAAGGACGTCAGATTGAGATT